GGGGGGGGGGGGGAGCTTAAAACGTGAATAACACTAATCAGGCTAGCTATATACTGTGAGCTAAATCCATCGAACGAACAGAGTGTGGAAAAATCTGATTCATTTGAGCACCTTAATACTACTATTCTTCCATGTCTGAGCTACGCCAAAGCTTTAAAACGTGTGGAGCAGTCCTTAGTACGTTTCTAATCCATTGGAATTTATCGCTGCCATCGACCCCCCCCCCTCCTTAAAGACTCTCATGTTTGTATTCTTGCCCAAATAGTTCTACTTATTTCTTCTTGCGTTATCGATGAAATCAAGACACCTTCAATTTATACCACCCTCTGTGATTTGCCTTGAAAACTATACAGCACCAAGTTTAAGGGTAAAGAGGCCATTGAAATATCAGAAAAAGCCCTTTCCCTTTGATCCATTTCAATGAGACAAGTAACAATATGGGCAGAATCAAAATCGGCCGTCGACTTCGCGTGCTCTCAATCAGCTTTCTACCTATAATAAATAGGTTGGAATGTTATAAGAATACCATGTTTGGACATTTACATAATCACCTGAGTTCAACCGGAAACAATGGTTGCTGGATCATTACCAAAGTCATTTGAAGATGAGTGAACGAGGAGGGGGTGTAATGATTACAAAGATTCAATAAAAGGAGGTGCTACTAAAGAAACAATTACGTAATGGAAACGATTAAATAGGTTCCCGTGAATGTGAATATAAAACCCGGTGTTTTCTATCCTACTGATCCGTATTCTCATTCTATTCTCACTCAACAGTATCAGACCAGTGGCTACCTCTTACGGAAGTTCAAAAACAGCAATGGATGGCAGCGTCTGTGGGTCGTTTTTACCCAGAACTGTTTATTCTTCTACAAGAGCTATCGAGATGATTGTCCACTTGCCAGTTTACCCTTACTTGGTTATATTATTACTACGCCTGGAGCGGATGATCAGATTCGTCGGGACAATGTGATCAAGATGCAGTTCAAAAACCACGTGTACTTCTTCCGTGGCGAGACCCATCATTCGTTTGAAAAGTACGTCATTCTTTTCTCTGTTCTTTCTCGTCATCAATGTCCTCCCTCCAGTCGAACTTAATGTAACCAAAATCGTTGAACATCTCTCTGGATGGGAAAATGTGACCTGCATGTAAATGCTCTCACGCTTCGCCCTGACGTCTGAAATTCCCCATTTCGTCATGCGTTCCAAAGATTAGTACTATTCGTCAATGCGCTATTGGTAACGGGTGCCTACCGTAATAACTAGCAATACTGACTTCAAATAATACACAGTTAATCACTAGTGGAACATTGTATAGAAGCTTTAACGAGTTATATACAAGCTTTCAACCAAAATACACCACCGTCACAATACTGGCAAAAGGGAAAAAATCGGGCATTAAACGTGCAAAAATGTGAGTTAACTACCAAGTACAATAGTAAGTTCAGATCGAACGTTTTCATTGTTGGTCGGTTTCCGGCCAAGGTAGGATACCAAAGAATTTCTGTGCATAGATATCCGAAATGGGATGAGTTTGTATTTGAAACGGTTATAGTGTGCGTGAAGTAAATACGGACGAGGTGGACCGAAAGCAGGCAGAAAGGATGCAGAATAAAGATCTTTTGGACCTAAAATCAAAATGCGAGACATTCATCTAAGGATGTATGTAGTATTCGGAATAGGAATCGAATAGCACGAACTCGGAATCCGACTGAAAACCCACTAAATAGCGCAAAGTCAGGCAGAACCAAAACGAGCTGTGGCTAGTTAGTTCTATTCAGAAAATCATGGAAATATACATCACAAGCAACAAACAATCGTTGGTCGATTCTTGAATTTCCAATCGATAACGGTATGGTTTATTTGTTTGCCTTCTGCATTCAGTCAATCCAGGTGATGCCAATTGAGACTACAGGATTGGTCGGTTATTCCGTTTTTGATTGGTTACCTGGTAGCTGTACCGCGATGCGTGCGCACTCGTTGCACGATCAAAACAACTTTCCTCCCTCAGCATTGCCTCATCAATTTGACTTGCTTTTCGTTGGGATTTCCTTAGCGTTGCGCTGGTTAAGGCTTCCGATTCCGCCGGCTGTATTGCATCTTGTTCAACATCATGACATTGGGGCACCGCACTGTCCGATTCAGGCGGTTCAGAATTGTTAGGGTTATCCTCTTCTTCATTGGGTTCTGATGCACCGACAGTTCGTTCGTCTCTGAAATGTATCTGGTCGATCGCCTCCACTATACCGGAGCACCTGCAATCATGATATCTGAACACGCTTATAAACAACCAGTAAAGCACGAAATCACTGCAAGGACGAGTTTTCTGCTGTAATACTCTCAACTATGCAATAGTTCACCTTGGTGTTGCTAAGTAGTTAGCACCATCTCAGCTATACCCAACTACGCAAACGTAGACGAACAGGAATTCCCTGTCGGCTGATTTGTTCTATACCCAGGATTACGGTTAAACAACCGAAAATAGAAACTGACCGCATTGTGGCAAAGTAGGTAACATAACAACTTTATTCAGATGTCTCGTTGACACTCAAGGGGTTTCTTCCCAGCATGCACCTCACTCCTCGCGCGGCCACCTCATCCACCGTGCTGTCTTATAAAATTGCTTAGGTAGGAAAAGCTGTCAGCTCAAAGCGAAGATTGTCAACGCCGTCTAACAGCAAACATAACATATGAAGACCACACCGTGAGAAGCAATAGTCTATTTTGCCAGATGTGTTCTGCGTGTGCCCCATTTCGATGATCATGACAGGGCTCTCTTTGTCCGCCCGACGTACTCTCATGGTGCACGTCTACTTAAATATCTTTGGGGAAGTCTGATTGACTGCATTCTACTAGTAAGGGTATTCTGACAAAAACAAGTGGGTTATAATGAGGTTTAATGAGCCACAAGCAACTGGATCGTTTAGGAGAACGTGATTATCTTGTTTGCACACTTATCAGGGGACGTACAAACGGGCTCCAGGGTATCCTGGTCGTTGTGGTCACCAGCTCGATTGAACAACGGGGTCTGGATACACGCTCATAGGGTGTTTAACCCAGCCGATCGAGTACTGAACCCTAATACACTTCTGTTCTCAACCACCCTTCCACTATCTTGCAAATCAGGTTTCGGCTGGTCCAATTTAACGTTGTGCCAGTGAACGATTCATGGAATACATTCATTGTTTCGGTGATTCCCACTTCATAATTTTTTGAAACGGTCTTCACCTCAAGCTGGAATCTTTCAGCTGAACGCACAATAGACGCCAACGCACTGCCAATCACTTCCTTCTTCAGCTACGCATACAGTGTCAGCATCAGCATGACCGCAGAGTCAAATTTCAACCAATGCTAACATTACGATAAAACTGACAAAGTTTAATGGTAATGGTGAATTCAAGCACCCTGGACGAACACTGATACCGATTCGATTCACCGTAAGCCTTTGTTCAACCACAAACAAGGATTCAAATATTTTTTTGACGTACCACAACAGAAGACAACAAAACAACAACCGTTAGTGATATATAACGTACTTCGAGCACCTGACAGAACTGATGGACTTGACACGAGTATGAAATCCTTAACCAGGGGATTGGGTCACATAGGTCCGCACGAAGGTACACGGTTATGCAAACTGAACTGATAGATACAACGCGACCAGATGGGGTTTTGGCTTTTAGTTCGAGGATTTCTTTTAGAATCATCGGAAGGTAGTCTCATGAAAACTCAGTTCTCCAATTCCTCGGACTTTCTTCAGTAGCAACCGTTCTATCTCTTGGTTATGTCAGAAAGATCGGGGAAGCGCTATCCTCTCTGAAAGTATGCAAACCACACAACCCGGAAGACCTACCTACTAACCAGTCACCCAAATTAAAGTCGTATTACTTCTTTTTTCCTGATGTTTTCTCTTACCTCCTACTTTTCTGAGGACAAGCCGCGATTATTCCCTTTCTCCAAAGTGGTACCCAGAGTAATTACCGTTTAATTTTCTTTTCGAAATTATCTAAACCCATCACTTCCGATCAGTTGCGTGCATTCCTCGGACATTAAAGACAACTTGGCTACCGGCCAAGTCGCTCCACCGGTGATCTGTTCTATCTTCTCACAGGTCCAGTCGGCAACACTTGATAACCACAGAGCAACACACGGTCCGAAATTACTGTCGAAACTGACTATTATCCGGCGCTCGCATTGTGGGTTTCAAGTTTCTTCAGTAATTGAACCATCTCCGTTCGTGTTGGTGTTACACCTCAGCAGTTCCCTGTGAGTGATGGCTTTACTCTAGGTTCAATACTCGGGCTGATCCTCTCTTATTTAGCAACGATCTTCCCCATCCAAAACTTTCAAAACCAACTTCACCCTACCTCTCCTACCACACTTAGGGTAGCCAGCACCAAGGTCGATGGTGGCCGTAACGTATTTACTCTCTCACTGGCCTGAGAGCACAAACGCATCTCCCTCTGCGACCAACATTCAAAAACCTTCCGTTCTTTCAATACGTTATTGATCCTTCGCATATTTACTTTGAGTTAGAAAACTTATACCTAAGTTGACGCAACCGGACTGAAAATTTCTGTGCAGGTCGTGAAGTAAATGACAATTCAATTACTGGTCCACTGGTATTTGCGCCTATTGGAGGGCATGTTCCGGAATCCCTTGTTAGCTGTCGTCATGACTGGATTATTGCCCTGGAACTCAGAATGTAAGCTCGACGGGAAAACTCGAATGTAAGTAACTTTTAAGGTCCCGTAATGTTAGGCTCTGATAGTAATACGGTAGCTGTTGCTAAGGTATACGGAACGACAAAATCAGTGCAGTATTCTATTGCAACTGGTGTTTGTGAACAGTGGCGAACTAGTCGCTGTTTTACGACGAATATGAACGTAAGTCCACAACCGTAAATAAACTATTCTTGACCGCTGTGTTCAACTGATGCGCCTAATGAGCGTAAATCTTTAACATAAGAAATTAGAAAACCATAGCAACTAGATGCAGCATTTCACCAAGATGGGAGTTAATTTCCGGTACAATACAGATGAACCAGTGACTGCTTGCGATCATCGTTTGAATGAATAGTGTGGACCACTGTTTATCACCTCCCCGGTCCCTTGACCATTGTCCTTTGAGCCACTGTAGTTATCAAAACTTTCTTGTATAAATGCGATTGTTCTACGTTGCAGCGAATGAAGAGATTAGAAGAAATATTGACATCTCGGAGCATTCGTCTTCTTTTTGTTTTAATAAAATGTTTATTCGCCAAGAGATGTAGTCGGGAGCACGTCTTACAATTATCTCCAAACGGCCCCATAACGCTGGTTATCACATGAGACTTGCATTCGTATTTATGTCGTGTGAGCAAAGTGACTGAACAAACAGAACTTCTTTATTAATCTTCCAGATGGTTCGAATACTTGAGCTGCGCAACTGGGACAAGTCGGCGTCCAAGATGAGGAACTATTACGGAGGTGGACAAACTATAAGACACGCTCAACCCAGGTGTACTTTAAGACCTCTACAGACGCTAGCAGCATCCGACACATACAGACCACCTTTTACAAATACAGGAACCAAGCGCAAATTTGACTATCTATTCGCATAACGTTGTCCCTCTTTATGGTAATTTCTCCCCACTTTTCTTTTCTTTCCTTTCCAAGTGAAAAAACTGTCCAATGGAATGCAGTGTACGCGTTTGCATACTTGTATATATATATATATATATATATTGGATATAATAACGACTAGAATCTTATGTACCGGTAGTGCAAGAAAAATTTGAGGTATGGAGTTCGCGTTTGGGACGACAAAAAAATAAATCACAAGGAGGGGCCACGAGAGTATCTCTGTGAATGGTAATGTGGAAATAGAATGGAGCTTGACTTTATAACATAGGTTTCTCTTTCAATGCGTGGACACTGTTGGGTGGTCATGTTCTTTGGTAAGTCACGAGAAGAGGAAGCATAACTGGTTGAGTGAGACGTGGTGCAGTCAGAGGGCTTTGCACCACCGTGCTCGCTACTCCTTTGAGTAGTCATCTGGAATTCAAAAGAAAAATCGAAATTCGTGAAAAATNGAAACAGTGAAAAAATGCCGTAAAT